CCATACAGCTGGTCTCCCTCTCCCTTCATTAGGCGGCATTCTGGGAGGCATTTGAGTGACCGTGTAATGGCGTGGTAAATGATCATAGCACTTTGCCCGGGTCAGGGTGGACATGTTTGTAATGTGGGTGACTGACTCGGTCCCTTAGATGGTGCACGCCTGCAAGCGCGTTCAGAAAGTAAGAGGGCCAGATAGAGTTGTGGCATTTGCTCGGTGACGGATCAATAGAAGGCGATTGTTCAGCGCTCATTCTGTCGTGCGGCTTCTCAGCTGTAAAACGCTTAAAAAGTTTCCCGCTGACCTTCGACCCTGGCGCCATGCTCGGCGGCTTCTGCCAACATGATTGATCACCTTTGACGGCTTTCGGGGGGGGGGGGGGGGGCATGCTCGAATGCATCGGCGCCATTCTGAACAAAAAAGCATGGTGCACACATACCGAACGTGTTGTGTCTTACCGATTGCAGCTGTGTCGGTCCCCTTCTTTTTTTTTGAGCAATGGTAAATTATTGTTGATGGGGTAACTAATTAACACACGCAAAAATAAAAATAAAACACACACACACACAACGCTTTGTGATAAATATGTTGTGGTTGCCGTGTACCTTGAACGGTGGTTTAATTGTTTTTGTTATTAGAATGTTTCAAAGCATTTGACATTCTGTGGAACATTTTGTCAAAAAATAATGAATCACATTTAGAAAGCACTTTTGTACTGGGTGCTCAAGGCACTGCAGATCACAAAACAAGTATGAAGCAGTCTCACAGCATTAAAAAAAACACCTGGTTTAAAGGTTCAACAGTTATTTAACAAACCCACCCCCTCCATAAAATGATCATACCAAATGGTTGCCACCGACCGGTACCATCTTGGTGTGTATGGGTTGTGTTGCGTATACATTTTGGAATAACCCCCTAAATGAGATACATATTCATCTTTACATTGTTTTTGGGGTGGGGGGCTTCAGTTATTACACGTCCGCCATCGAACAAAGACGGTTGCCGCATCGCGCACCTTCAGATGCGCTTCTGCGGCCGTCTGGAGCGCTCTTCCTTCCGACATGAGGAAGCCACTGGAGCTATGCACTTTTAAATCTGGATTGAAAACGCATTTCTTTTGAACTCCGTTTTTGCGTTTGGTTTGTTGTTCCTTCCGCACCTCCAATAAGCACCGTTGGCTAAGTATGGTAGTTCAACATACATGCATACAACAAATAGATGTTCGTGTTAGGTTGATACGCATAGTATGCGAGGCTCTTTGTTTGTGCGACATGCTCTGCAGGAGTAAATTAAATTGCATGCCTTTTCACCTTCGAGGATGGAAAAATAAGGTATGGAATGTTTGAAAGGTAGACTTAATAGCCTTGGCTATCAGACGTATAATCATGTGTGGACCAGTGATTGAACATAACAAAACAGAACAAGACTGACAAATAAAAAATGGAACTGACATACAGAGAGTGTGGGAATAATATTGTGACAGGAGAAATTCATTCGGCTGGAAGCTCTGACCAGCTTCTAATGTGGTTCCCGCTGCATAATTTCTTGAGGAGTGATTGAATCAACCAAGGTTAACCCCTTCGCCGAGAGTTGTCTGTAGGCAGACTGAATGGAGGCATGCCGCAGCTACGTTTGTTCCTGTGTAATGTGCGATACGTGCAGCTTCGTGCTATAAAACCACGTGGTGTCTTTAAGTGAAACTTAAAATTCAAGTAAATATAGTAACGCTCGGTTTTGTTATGTCTCAATTTCGACCGTGCTATGTTCGGGAAAATTGGCACCATGGATAAATTGGCGTTGCTTTCATCAAATGGTTAATTAAATAGCCGTGCTTTTCCCCATAGTTTTCGAACAGTCTTGGCATACGGTTGAATTACTCATAGAGCTGTCCTTAATTTTATTCTTTTTGAAAACGCACTTTGAAATGATCTCATTATTGCCCTTGCCTATCTCCCATTGTCCTAAAAAACTGTTTTGTCCAATTTCACTTGGAATTTGTCAAATTTCTGCCTCTGCTTTCACACCCCATGTGCATCAAAAATATATTATTATCTGCGGCCCTCTTCTCCTTGATGGCAGCACATCGTGTGCGGATTGCCGCATTTCCTATTGTCCACGATTATGCACGCATAAGAAGAGGAAGAGGGCGGAAAGAGTAACACGGAGCTGCAGATCGGACATTCCAAATATTTGTCACATCCATAAACATTTCTGCAGGGGATTCTGCCACCGTGGTGCAACAGTTAGCACACTAAACTTCCAATCCAGAGAGGCGGCCGATCCAATTTTTTATTTCCCAGCGCGGCAGTTCAAACTGAACTTAACTATTATACCAGGTAAAGCCCATTGAGCTGTAGAGCTCTTTTTCAGAAGCGACCTAGCCTCAAATGATAGCTCAACGAAGAGGCTTATCACATGGGAATTTATAGCAGCCAAATACTATAAACGCAAGTTGATTCTAAATGTGGGGGGGGGGGGGGGGGGGTGGGAAACCAGAGGACTCGGAGAAAAATCCACACGACCACGGGGAGAACATACAAACTCAAATATACAGGCGTCAAGGTCGGGATCGAACCCACGCCCTCCTGTATACCAGGTGAGGTAGTTAACATCATCTCGCCACCACAGCGGTTGAAACGATGGTGCAAGTTTCTTAAAGGCCTCTGTTCGCCCAGCAGTATAAATCGGTTCACCACGGGACAGTTGATCGGCAGGCCGCATGTGACGGGATAAAGTGTCGGTACTACCACCTATTCTAAGAAAATTGGGCAGCGTGCAAGACTAAGGACATGGTTGACGATGATGAAGATGCTTAACAATGATGATGACGATGATTTAGGATGTCATGTTTTTGCAATCGCCTCCATTATTCTGCATGCTACTGCAGCTGTAAAGTAACAATGTCGAGTAGTCAAGGAAGCTTGTAAACACGCCTGTCCCAAGTGTTACGTTCGTTAATCCTGGCACAGCCAACAGATTGGAACAAGAATTAATAATAGACAAAGCTGTTATCTTTCTTAATTGCATATCAAATGAATTGAGCGACCAATTAATCCTATTTGCAATTATTGTGAGTTGCAGATAAGAGGTGTGCTTTTGTGGATAGTAGCAAGAAAACTTATTTTATCCACAAATGTGCTGCTTATCCACAACAGCATCGCTCAAATTTGTTTGGCAGATGAAAGGACTGCTTCTGCATATACAATTGTAGATGCATACATTTACACACCGGCGCGCTTTGCCAAGCAGAGGAGCCAAAGTGAATAAATCGGGACGCACATAAAAACTGCGCCGTTGCAAATTCGTGAAGAATTCACTTGGAAAATTACAGTGTAAATTGCACCCAATAAATCATTAGTTATTTGCATTAACCGACTGACACTTTATAATTAATAGGAGGTAATTAAGGAATGTGACACATTATTAACTCTTATTAAGTGTTGTTATTTCGATTTAAAGTGGTTGTTTTTTTCCTCCTAGTAACGCTAAGCAGGGTCCAGTTTTTCATATATTACATCTAAATAAGTGGTACTTTAAAATGTGTTTTTGTTTTGTTTTACCAAGTGTGAATTTCTTCTTTAGACAAATAATATGCTATTTTACCTGTCGTTGCTATCTCTGTCCGAAACCCTTTCCGCGTACATTCATTCATTTATTTATCCACCCTTCCACCTTCAATGCCCCCTCCACATTCCACACATATCGTTCTCCGTTCTACCCAGGGCAGCTCCCCACCAGCCATTCAGGGTACCTGTAGACTAGGATTGGTTTTCAAGAAGAGGTTTTGTTTGGGGGGGGGGAGATAGATCGCGTAAATATAAATGTGCCGTTAAACCCGCCACCATCTGACACAGCCAATTAGTAGGGTTTGTCACGTAAATAAAAAAACATGCCAATTCGTTACTAGTACAGCACAGCGTTTTGTGTTGGAGAGTAAACCCATAACGTTTACGATTCGAGTGCCATGACGCTTCGCCGGTAATTACAATCAGCCTCATCAGGCGACAGCCAGAGTTGACAAACCTTACTAATTGGCTGTGTCAGGTGGTGGTGGGTTTAACGACACCTTCATATTTAAACTATCTAATTCAAAAAACCTCTATTATGGCTAATATTAGTCGTGAAAGCCTACGTGTTAAACTCGGGTTAGTTTATTCAGCTTCTTACGAATCTTATTGATGGCAGCTTTTGGAGTGCGAATTTAGTTGACATTTAATGGATAGGTGAAATCCACATGCTAAGACTTCAGTAATGTTCCACACGTTTAATTAAAATATTAAGATCATTACATCGTGGGATTGTGAGAGGTGGCTACGACTTGGGTAGGCCATCATTCCAGCAGTGGATTGAGAGCGACCGAAAAAATTATGCCCAAACAAACACTCATCTTGTGTCAGTTGTCAGCATTTAATCAGCAAATGATACCCATAGAGTTTAAGACGCATCAATTGTGCTGTCAGTTTGACACGAACGTTTTCTGACCAATATCATCCATAATACAGGTTTTTTTTTTGGGTTAGATCGCGTAAATATATAAATGTTTCGTTAAACCTGCGACCACCTGACACAGCCAATTAGTAATGTTTGTCACGTAAACAGAACATGCCAATTCGTCACTAGTACAGCACACCGGTGTGTTGGAGAGCAAAGCCACAACATTTACAATGTTCCTTAAACAGAGAAGTAGATGTGATGACAACAGGAGGATTTCTCCACAAATCTGACTGTCGCCTGATGAAGATAGTTTTAATTACTGACAAAACGTCGTACTCAGATTGTAAATGTTGTGGATTTGCTCCTGTAACGAATTGGCATGTTCTGTTTACGTTACAAACCTTACTAATTGGATGTGCCGGGTGGTGGCGGGTTTAACGACACATCTTTACGCGATCAAACCTAAAAAAAAACCTGTATTATGGATTGTGCTGTCAACTAGATCAGGGCCTCGGAACACTGAAACTGCTGATTGAATTAACACACAGCCCATGTATCCCATCCCGCAGGAGTTCAAAGTGCAGGCACGGAGACTAATGACGGACATGGCTCTGAGGGAGAGGCTGGTGCCGTGCGCCCGGCGTCTCGTGGAAGGGAACCACTCGCAGGAGGCAGAGCGCCGCACGTACACGCATCTGCTACTCGAACTGTCGGGACCGGAGCCGGTCGCTGGCGCACCCACCGCCTCCGGTTGAAGAACCCGTGGGGTAGCGAGCGCCTTGAACAATCCGTGGGGTAGCGAGCGCCTTGAACAATCCGTGGGGTAGCGAGCGCCTCGGGGCGCAACCCCTGCGTAAGTGCGAGCGCGTGCCCCCCCCTGCACCCCGACACCTCCGACAGAGATGTGGCTAAGAGAGGCCATCGCGACAATTTTTTTGAACAAGAAATAATAATAAGTTGTGGTATTGTTGAGTCCGGGGTTTGTTTGTTCCCACCCCCCCCCCATATCCTTCGTTACAACTAAGGTGACATAATGATGATTGTTAAAAAAATTGCTTGATATTTCTGCGTTGGAAGTAGCGATGCACAAGCACAATTTGACGACAGGAAAAACAACACATTCGTCTTAAACACTGCCTGAAAATAAAAATGTAAAATCGCCAGCGTTTCGAGCACTGGTCCCCCTTCTTGTGCTATGGAAAAGGGCCATTGCTCGAAAAGTCCCCGGTTATTTATATTTTTCTTACAAGGTCACATGGTATTCTTGGTTCTTTCGGTAAAGTCACCGCGTAGAAGGGAAACAATAAAAGAATAAAAATATATAGCAATAAAATTCTCACGACGTTTCGACTGCAACACAGGCAATCATCATCAGGTGTGAAAACCACAGCAAATTCTCTTGCTGTGGAAACGTCGTGCGAATTTTATTGTTTTATATTTGTATTCTTTTATTGTTTCCCTTCTACGTGACTTTACCGAAATAACCAGGAACATGAATCCCTGCAGTCACGAAAGCTTAAAATAACAATTTAGGTCACATGGTGTTATTGATTAATATGTTGGGTTTTCTTTAATTTCGGTACACAGTAGCGCAATGAACGGTGGGTTGCGGCGCTGAACATGTAGCCAGTGTGAAGATGTGATGCAGTTCAAGCAGAGCAGAACTTGTATCTGTGATGAAGTGATGAGGACAACGATGTGGATCCAATTTGTGATCTTAACAGATAATCACTGGCAACCATTCGCCAATAGGAAGCTCCACAACTTGCAAGGTGTGGCCCACGCCATTGGCAGTGGCATGCAAAGCATTAGCGATGCAGCAGATCAACTATTACCGTGCCGCCTCTATTTGCGAGGCGAGTAATGTAGTATTGATTCGGCGATTAAAATTGATTCTATAGCTCACAATACGTGCATTTGAGTTGTGCAATGTATGCAAATGATACGCTCTTGTCGCGTTCGGGGGGGGGAGGGAGGGGGGTGGGGGTAACAGGAGGGACAAAATATTGGAGACGGAAAAATGGGAAACGTGATTTAAAAAATGGTAAAAGCGAAACGAACAAAAAAAATAGACACTTTAATTTGAGTGAGGAATCATGGCATGCCTACTATTTACTCCTTAAATTAGCAGACTTCATGAAGCTCGTTCTACGCAGTCACACTTAATCCTGGCGTGTACGTGAAAGTTGCTGAAATTGGTGTGTGTGTGTGAAAGTTGCTGAAATTGGTGTGTGCGCCCCCTACCATGCATGTCAACGTGTGTGGCTCTTCACAGCTTACATATCTGCCCACCCAAACTGTTATCCTGCTGTGATCTTTGTTCTTCTCCAAGCAGAATACAGATGGGGGGGGGGGGGGTTATAATGGTGGCTGCCGCTCAGCCTGACAATGTTGGGTGTTTGTCTTGGGGGAGCGCACAAAACAAAAACGCGAGTCACATTGCGCAAGTAATCCCACCCCCCCCCCCCCCCCTTTAGTAAAGCATATTGAGTTATGATTGGCTGGCATTTCTCGGCAGAGAAGAGTAACAGCCCTTTCGACATATGGAAAATGTGGCTCTTGGTTAGCATGCCAGATTGCGCGTCATTGGCAAGTCTCGGCGCTGCGTCTTGCCTGCAAATCAATGCACGTTTTAAGCGTAGGATAAGCGAGGAGACTGGATGAGCCATGGATATCTAGGATGTCTTTATTGCATGTACAGTAGCTGTCTGTGAACTTGAAAACGCGTATAGTCCGTGGTATAATTTAGCATAATTTTACGACTGTAATCCGTTTTCTCAAACAATTTGTACTTTAGATTGAGGTAAGGCTTGGAAAAGCATGGCCTTGGTCAAGCATCCGAGATCATGAGTCATCGCACGACTCAGCTGCTTCTTTGCCTGCAAATGTATGCAGTGTGTCAGACTAGTGGTTCCAATGTGTTGTCACAAGTTTAAATTCCATGTATCAGTTGGGAAACCTTGTAAAAAGTAATTTAATAACCTTGAGATTCTGCCAAATTCCATCTTTTAAAGGACAGTCCAAATATATATTTATGGACAGGCAGTGTTTACAGTAAGATTGAGTCGGATCAAGATTTTTATAAGTTCACACATCGTGCCATTACAATACTGCGATATAGCTGTGCATTTCAATAAAAAAAATAAAAGTTGCCTGCATTAATTATCGTTATGTATGGATCACATTGGATGACTGGCGATACATTACAAATTTATATGGCAGCTTGTAGGGTTGTTTTGTGATTGAGTCAATACAAACTAATATCCTTTTAAATTAGATTGTGAAATAAATATCGTATGGTTAGCTGACGGCATTTATCTTTGTGTTTAACATGATGAAGGAGAACTTAATTGAGTACTTTGAAGAAAAAAAAACTCAAGCAAAATCAATTTGCTAATAATTCAAAAGAGTCGAGCAAAATCAATACAGTATTTGGTGATTTAATCGTAAGGTTTTTTTGAGTAACTCTGTGCACCCTTGTGCAGCAAACTTCAAACGCTACAATTCTAAGTTTTCATGACAACTCGCATATAAATATCGGCGACCTTGGCAAAGGAAGCCGGAGATGGCACGACAGCGTGTGTGCAATTAGGCTCTTAGGAGACTTGGCATCAGAAAACGGTGGACGGCTTACCCTAGGCGTGAACATCTCTTTCCATAGTCATGTGTTCAGTGTTCTGACGCTGACATGACCGTGTTATCATACTGAAATGAGCTTGTGAATGACCTCTGCTGTTCTCTATATTTGCAAGAACCTGGAGAAGGTTGCACGATCTAAAATGCTGTTATAACGGCTCAGACATTGTCAGTCAAATGTTAAGGCCAACTGGAGCATCTATTGCCCATTGAGGTTTTCGCACCTTACCCATCAGACAAATGCACGTAATGGTACATCTTATCAAGTGGTTGTGAGCATATTTAACGTTCAAATAATGATTTGGACAGAGGTGTCCTGGTCAGTATTTTTCAGGTTGTATTTAAAGGAATTAAAAAAATCGCAGCTATGGTTCAGCTGTGACAACAAAAAGTGTCAACCTCAAAGCTAAACTCTAATATAATGGATGAGACATGGAGCTTCGCTATGGTTGTTTTACATGTTCATGAACCGAAAAAGTGAAGTGCGTGTAGTAATTTAGTGTTCTATTGTTAATCGTATATTTTTTTAAACGTGATTGTACTCGAGAAATAGTACTATTTTTTTGCCAATTGAGATAACTGCTGTGCTCAACTTTGACATATATGAGATTACAAATTGATTTGTAAAAACAATGCCACATGAATCCATGTTTAAGCTGATTGGAGTTTTGAGACGTGAGGGAGCTTTACATCTGTGAATGAGATTTGCCGGACTTTGAAGTGACATGGATATTTTCATCATGGAACCCATTCACGCACAGACTTCGCATTGCCAGCATTGCCCCGTGCATAAAGTCGACGGGAATATTTGTGGCCTGAGCTAATGTATTTGGATGTGGGCGGCAGACACATTTCAAGTGGCCGACGTACTTGGAAGTGTCCACCTGGGTACATCCCGCTCATGTATACCCTTGCATATTTACCGTGTGTGCTGCAATCTTTCGTAATTTCAGTCTTGCCATCGGACGGTATAACTTTGCGCGGTTATTTTTCTGCTGGGGCTGGTTGTCACCGATAACTGTCCGATTACCACTGAAAACCTCAAGCAACCGTATTCCATTGTCATTCGTATCTTGTCATTTCCATACTGACTCGCAGATGGCATCACTGTTCATACTGTTTGTAAATGCTTTTCCTTCCGATATTAGGAGGCCACTGGAGCTATCCACTTTTTAATTGTCCAGATTGAAAACGAATTTATTTTAGAACTGCTTTTTTGTGTTTTGTTTGTTGGCTACGTACGGTGCGAAAGAAGTTCAATATACACACATACTTGGTGCACACTTGAGCACCCAAGTCTCTAAAAAGGAAGTGCAAATAAATGCGCAGGATGGCTACTAAAGAAAAGGAGAGAGTTGTGAGGTAATTTGAAAGAGATTAAAACATGTGTTTGGGAGGGGTGGATTTCTGTCTCCCGCTATGCCCAACGTGCTCGACTACATGTTCACCAAACCCATGGACAGAGTAGAGGCCGCATAACACCTCGGAATACCAGAGGGTCATTTGTACCCGAGACACTGGGAGTCCGTGGATGGTGCCGGATTGTCAGCTGGGACAATAACGCTTCGCATATATTATCAGCTTCGACTAGCAAGGCTTAGATGTTGCACCCATTGTCAGAGCACCTCCTGATTCTCCTTCCACTGACCTAGACACTCCTTTGGGAGCTCTAACCTCCCTTATTTTTGCCAATGTACAAGTTCACCGTTGGCGAGGAACACCGCACACAGCGCACCGGATAAGGCGACATAAAGGGTGGGAGGAGAGAGCACGGACGAACCGCTCTTGACAAGAGTGAAGGAACGGAAGCTTTGCGACCGTTTCAGCATGCGACGCAGAAAGGGGGGAGCCATCTGGCATCATCTTACAGGGCACGGTAGAAGGATTAAAGAAGGAAAGGCTGACCCTGGATGAGCTAGATGACAAATGTGATAACGTGGACTGATGCGTCGGCACAACACCCGACAAAGGCTGCCGAAGGACAGACAAATATGGAGAGAGTTGTCGGCCAAGGCATCACATTTGGCTGTGTTTGCATTGCACCTGTCCGTGATCAATTCCTGTCTATCCTTGTTACCAGTATCAAAGGAATGTAAATGACTGCGTATTAATGTAGCAATGTTCATAACAACAGGAGGTTTTGAGAACAGTGTCAAGAGAGGTGGCATTTATTGGGTCGTTTTTTAGCATAAAATGCATTTGAAGAGCAGAGGTCACCTGCGTTGCTTAATGGACGTTGTTTATGAGACGGAAGCAATGTCCGTGTTTGCTGTGTGAGCCAGAGAGAGCTATATTTTAAGCAAAGTAACTCGAAAATAAATGTATGCCCTTTGAATGCAGGTTCTTGTGGTAGACGCTGGGCACATTATAATCGGCATAGCGTAAGGGAACGTGGACGTTTGTAATGTAACAGGGCAAGGATGTGTTGTAGGTGTGATCGGGAAAACGGTTTAGTGAAAGATGATGGGACACGAGCGCAGGATCAGTTTTTTTTTTATTATTTTTAACTTCGTCACGGTTTTCTGAGCACAAACTCAAAGGGCCCCCCACCCCCCCCCCCCAAACGCCAAACAGCCTGCAGCCAACAACAACTATTGGAGGTGTAATTGATAAGGGGAACTTGGGGAAAGACACCGTGCGAGGGAGATCCGAGGGGGCATTGAGAGAGTGGCGTT